AGTGAAAAATACAATAAGCCGTGTATTTAAATTATCATGCGAATCTGAGCTACGTACCTGAGATAGTCGCTCAGTTAGTCAATAATTCATCATCATTTATGGGCACCGAAGGTTCATTATGGATGGGAGCTAAATATACTGATCGATGCTTATCGAATTTTATATGATCTGAGGGTATTTCTGAGCACTGAGAGGTGAACTGAATTAAAACTATTTTTTTTTTCTGTGAATACTCTGTCTTGGCTCTCTTGTTCTTCATTTTACTGCTTCAATTACACTTTTTGTGTTTCCGGATCGAAAGGAAGAGACAATTTTATAATTAGATTAAAACGTTTTCTGCAAATATTACCCACTACCCTCCTCCCCCCCCCACTATAAATATTTGTGTGATCGTGTGTACAAGAACCTAATATTAAATTTGTGACGACGTTGCACATACGACGGGGTTGTTATTAAACTTAATAACGATAAAGGCACAATATTCACACCATAATATTCCACTAAAATACATTTTAAAATTATCGTCCGACGTTTGCACGCTTATCATAAACGACCCCTTCTCCTACAGTGTTTCGGAACAAATATTTGAGGCAGTCGCTGACATCCCCTGCCGAAACGTCGGGCTCGGCCAGGGACACAATAATTGTTTTACTATTGACAATTCGTTTCATTTTATTTCAACTGCTGTGTTTGTTAATCTCAGAAAATGATGTAAGATACTCGGATGCTGTAAATCATAAATCATGAAGAAAGAAGGATATAAATTTTTAAAACAAATATTATGAACATCGCAAATAATATTCTTAGGGATATCCGTCACAGCGAACAATACATTATCTCTTCCTGTCTCTCAAAATAAGATACTTAAGTAGTCTTCCACGTCGAAGAAGTGCGGCTTTTCTCTGTATTAAGGAGCAAAGGATCCCTAACGTAGCAGAGCACTGTTTGATATATTACCCAGAATCCCGCCTCAAACCACTATTAAGAACAAAACACGTGTGCCCATCGACAGAAGCCTTATGAAATATTAAGTCTTAGAGCAAACAAGTTGAATCCAACGTCAACCGGTCAAATAGATAAATGCGGCCCGCATTAAGTCATCAATCCAGAAACATGTGTGCATATATATATATATATATATATATATATATAAACTGCGAGGACCATCGGTATATTTTGTTTCTTCAGGAAAATATTCTGCGCAAACACAAATAAATGCACTATCACCTACTTTTCTGCTACAGGTACCAAATAACTGTTTCCACAGAGCAGAGTCCTTCTTCAGAACGCGATATTCTTATATCACCTATGCCTAGGTTTCCCGAGTGGTCTCTTTTCCCCAAGTTTCCAAACCAAAAATTTGTATGCATCTCAGCTTCAAAAACCCAAGATAAATTTTCCAATAATCTCATAAGCCTTCATCTAATAACCTTCATTTTATCAGTTTTTGGTCTTCTAAAATGTTATTTTCAATCGCTCTTGTAGTGTTGTATCACGTCTGTTGTTTGAAGCATCTGCAATTCTGCGCAGAATTTGATGGATATTATTAAAAAAAATATCAAGACATATTTACGTCCTTATATTATCATAGGTTCTCGATTTTTAACTCTGAATTCTAAGTACCAAATTAATACAAAGTTTCTGATATGACACAGTGCAAAAACGTTGCTTATGTACGC